TGGGGCTCACAGTGGCTGGTGAACTTTAATTCAGATAAAACTCAATTTTATTCGGCCAATCGTTATCGTAATAATTTAGATCTTCCTATATTTATGAATGGTAATGTACTAGATGAGTCATCTACCATTCATCTTCTAGGATTAACTCTTACTTCTGATCTTTCTTTTAAACCGTATATCAAATCCATTGCAAAATTAGCATCTGCTAAGGTTGCATCTCTTTATCGAGCTCGACACTTTCTTACTCCAGATTCTATTCTCTATCTCTATAAATCTCAAATCCGTCCCTGTATGGAATACTGTTGCCACATCTGGGGCGGATCTTCTAATGATGCTCTTTCTCTTTTAGACAAGGTGCAAAAACGAATTGTAAACATAGTTGGACCTGCTCTGGCAGCCAATCTCCAACCTTTGTCACATCGTCGTAATGTTGCCTCTCTTTCTCTTTTCTACAAATACTATAATGGGCACTGCTCTAAAGAGCTAGCGTCCCTTGTGCCATCTACTAAAATTCATTCTCGTGTTACTCGCCGTCAATTAAGTCTCATCCTTTTTCTGTGACTGTTCCTAAGTGCTTCAAAAACTCTTATTCTTCTAGTTTTTTTCCTCGAACATCAGTTCTTTGGAATTCGCTTCCTTCATCTTGCTTTCCTGATTCATATAATTTGCAATCTTTTAAGTCATCAGTCAATCGTTATCTTGCTCTACAGATTTAGTCTTTTCTCTTCCAGTAACTTCCAACTCTTATAGTGGTTGCTTGCAGTCTTGTTGGAAGTGAAGATGTTAAAAAAAAAAAAAAAAAAAAAAAAAAAACCAATAGAAATGGAAGAAAGCTGGTGATACATATGAAGAAATGGGGTCTTCATGCAAAAGCACCTGAATATTTTGGCGAAAACCCAGTTCGTGCACTAGGATTAGAAGTCACAGTAAATCCATTAACAGAGGAGATGTTTTGGAAGAGAAGACGCGAGTTTCCTATTATTAAATCTGTGCTCACAAAGAGAGATATATTCTCGTTATGTGGTAATCTGATTGCTAATCTACCAGTTGCTGGATGGTTGAGACCGGCATGCAGCTATATAAAAAGATGTACAAACGAAGCAGGTTGGGATGAACCTATAACGAATAAGTATGTTATGGAAATGATGCAGGAAGTTGTAGATAAAGCCGTAAAGTGCGATCCGGCATAAGGTGTATGGAATGTTAAACCAAATGCATCTCTGACTGTATGGTGCGACGCAAGTTCGCTGGCAAAAGGAGTTGTGATAAGGCAAGGTGACAGAAAGATAGAAGATGTGACATGGCTCCGACCAATGTCTGATGCAATGCATATCAATGTGGCCAAATTAGATGCATGTATTGAAGGTCTAAATATGGCATTGAAATGGAATCCAAAAGGTGTCTCCATTAAAACTGATTCTCATAGTGTATTTAGTTGGTTAAGTTCTGAATTGACTCGTGACAAACCTGTGAAATGTGCTGGGCAATGCGAAATGTTAATTCAACGAAGACTCCAAATATTTAAAAAAATTGGTTGAGGATAATGTCATAAATGTAACTGTTACATGGGTACCAACAACTAAAAATATTGCAGATGAACTCACAAGAGTGCCAACAAAATGGATAAAAAACAAAGTTGCAACACAAGAATGTAATACCATTTACAAGTACGATAAACAGCAGATTCGAAAAATTCACTCACTAGCACACATGGGAGTTTCCAAGAGTATGGAGTTATGTATGCGCGCTGGTATCCACGTTACCAGAGACACAGTGAAACAGGTTGTCGCTGAATGCGATGAATGTAACTCGATTGACCCTAATGTGATGTTGTGGGATAAAGGAAATCTTGCTGTTAGCAAAGTATGGGAAAGAGTAGCCTGCGATGTTACTCATGTTGATTCATCGCTATATCTCACCTGTATTGATTGCGGCCCAAGCAGATATACGTTATGGACATCATTAAGCGACAAAAGTGCAACTATGGTTGTTCAAGCGTTAGAAACAATATGGTCAACACTTGGACCTCCTTCTGAAGTTCTTCTAGATAACTCTAAGTCATTTAGATCTCAGCTTATGCAAACTATGGCTGCGAAATGGGAAATAAGGCTCATCTATTGAGCTGTTGAAAAACCATCGGGAAATGGAATAGTTGAAAGAGTTCATCAGACGGTAAAAAGAACAAATGCAAGAGTAAAATGTGGTATTCCCATGTCTGTAAGGAAGTATAGTGGCATTGCATAATGATTTAACAGCTGAAGTCGATGTCAACGGACATACGTTACTACGACATTTTTCTCATCTGCAACATCATCGTGTAGACACAAAAGAAGAAGATACAACAAATGATTATGATTCAACACTATTTAAACTTCCCGAAACGAGCTCAAAACACATTGTCAATGATGATCCAAATCTTCAAATAATTCCTCCGGATAATGGTAAAAATGACAATAGTACGGGCAGCAATCAAAACTATTCAACAGATGGTGAAACAGAGTCACAGCCTGTTCAATTCACTCGCTATGGAAGGAGAGTACTTCCTAATCGGAAGTACAACGATTACGTATGAGCTCTTGTTGAGCTAAGGGGGATGTTGTGCGTCATTTATAATTAGCGTGCTAATTATTGACAAAAGTCACAAGTTGTGATTTTCCATTATTATAACATTTTTTATTAATTGTCAACAAGAGTCACAAGTTGTATGTTATGCTATATAAAGTGAACAATTTTTTTTGTAAATGGGAATTTTATATATAAGTAAAAAGAAAATGTTAACAACAAAAAAATGGCGTTTAAATGTGTCGAACAACAATAAGATTTGTTTTTAACTTTTTTTAACAAGATGGCAGACAAAGGGAAAAGCAGTCCAGTTTGGGAATACTTCAAATTAAAGGATGGGGACAGTTCAAAATCCTAGTGCTTGCTGTGTCCCAGCATCTTGTCACGTGGTAAAGCTAGTGAACCTAAAATGTTTTCAACTTTGTCCATGCTAACACATCTTCGTTTAAAACATCGTAATGAATATGAGAAATGCAAAAAAAATTGCTGACTCACAGAAAAAAGCCGAAACTGTAGCACTGTCAAATGCTAAACCTGGTGCAACTGCCACAACCAGTAAAGCTGTGGTCCAGTACACAATTCCAGAACATGTTGCACCCATGAAAATATGGGATATCAATAGCAGCTCATCAATGAGAATTAATCGTGCTATTGCTAAGATGATTATAACAGATATGTAACCATCAGAACATGTGTTCAGTGTTGCTGGGAGGTCCTCAATGTTCACCGTAGTTCACTACTGCCGCATAATGCAGTTTGCCTAATATTTATAAAGTACAATTCAAAACTGATTAAAGACAATTTAGAAAAATAACTGAAACTGAAGCTACTTTACTTTACTTTTAAATTTAAAGTTTCAATTGTTTATTAATTATTGTGTTATGTTATGTTATGTGAAATTGTGTCCTATTTTAATAACAACAATAAAGTTTAACAAAAAAACAGTTGTCTCTTGGTATTGAGAATGGTCAACATTATTGACCATTCTCAATGTCATGTAAAGATCCGGATTCTGGATTTCAGCTCCTCTAATTTTGTTTCAAAATCCGGCTCAAGATTTGGCTTCGGCTGGATTTGTCAGTAAAAATGGAAAAAATTGAATCCAGTACAGCCAGGATTGCATGGTTTTAACCAAATGGTTTAAACCATGGTTTAAACCAATAAAAAAAATGTTGGTTTAAACCAAACTAATGTTTTTTTAAAAAGATTTGAACTTACAACAGGAAACTAAGACAGGGTTATGTTCACAAATATAACTTATCTTCAATATAGATATATATTATCAATATGCTTCATCCAGGATACACTCTACCTAATAGAACAGAAATTGGGGGAGAAATATTAAATAGGGTTTACACAGAAGAAATTGAAAAATTTAATGTATTGAATGGGGAAATTGTAGCCATGTCTTTAGATGGCTGGAATAATATACATAATGAACCTATAGTTTGTATCTCTGTAATTACAAATAAAATTAACATTTTAGTAGAAACAATCAACACTTCTGGTCATTCACATCCTGGTGAATATCTTACACAATTAGCAAGAGAAGCAATAGATTTTGTAAGACGTAAATTTGGATGCACAGTAAAAAGTAGATAGTTTGGATCTAATGTTTCTGAAAATGAAAATGAAGCTGCCATGAATTTCGCAGATAAAGAGTTCAAGAATTTGTTACCAATATTATTCAAATTAAAAGCCTAATCTACTATAACATAATAGATATTGAAGGTTTATTAAATGCAGCAGCTTCTAGTGCTGGAATCAAAAGAATTTTTTCAACTTTTGGTTTTGTTCATTCTAAGTTAAGAAACCGATTGGGGGTAGAAAAAGCAGCAAAGCTTGTATTTATATATAGAACATTAAACAATGATATATTAAATAATTTTGATGAAATATAACAATAATATTGATAAAGAATATAGTTTACTCAAATGAAATACGTTATGCTTTTTTTAATTTAAAAAGATAACTAAATATCACATTTTTCAGTAAAAACCTAATTTAAACCAAAAAAACCATGTTTTTTTTTTTTTTTTAAAAACCTATGGTTTTTGGTTTTTTTCAAAATAACCAGTTTTTTTGCAACTATGAGTACAGTCCTAGTTTTAGTACCCAAACTTAAATGTCTGTCTCATCCAGATTAGGTTGTTTCTTTAAAAAATTTCATTCTCTTCCTCTATCATTTGATACTTTTAAAAATTACTTTGTTGCATTTTTTTAAATTTGTTTTTTATAAAAGTATTCTTTTTTTTTAATAATAATTTTATAATAAATTTATAATAATGTTCTTTTATATAAAGTATTAATTTTGATATGACATATTTGTTGTTTAGTACTTAAAATGTTGGTTGATATTTTAATATGTTTAATAAGGTTTTCTGTTATTAAGTTACTGAAAAGTTCATTTATTTTCATTATGAAATATTTACCTGTAGGGCATTAGATGGCATAAATGGTGTTTTAGAAGCTGTTTACCAAATTAATGAAGGTAGGTTTTTATCAACTTCTAAACCAACCTTCTTTGGTTTTTATCAGTTTTTATTTTGGTTTTGGTCTTAAGAGTTATAAAATTATAAGTTTACAGGAGTTGTTTTCTAATTTTTAATAGTTAATCTACATTTTGAATAACATATTTTGAAAGCAGAAAAATTGCAACCCTTACAGACTATATGTTTTTACAACTGCATTTGTTTTGTATTACTTAGGTTGTTAGGAATAATAAATTTTCCTTAAATGCCTTAACTCTATTCTTGCAATTTTAATTGATGAACTCATGGGGTAACCAATGTGAGGTTTTAATATATGCTCAATATTCAAATTTTTCCATTTAAAATTTTTTAATTTAACTTGTTTAATAAAATTCAAATCATTTTTTAAATACACATTCAAAATATTTCAACAAGTAACTAAAATGTTCATAAATTAATACAGTTTAAGATAATATATAAATGTTTAATTAGTTTGTTTTATTATAACTTTATAGATCAACTTTTTTAACGATCTAAGTATATTAATATAATTTTTTGTTGTTGTTTTAGCTCCAGTCTTTGCCAAAAATTTGGTATTGGCTTTTCAGAAATGTTTGCAATCATTTAAAATTTTTAAAGAGCAAGTTTTTCCCATTTTAAAGGTAATGTTTTGATGTTTTGTTTTAAAAAAAAATCTAAAAACAAGTTATTTATAAATTTATTTTTTTACTTTCAGGATCAGTTAGTGAATAAGTAAGTTGTTTATTTTGAATAAGTTGTTTATTTTGATTAAGTTGAATTTTTAAACTTTGATATTATTATATATTATAAAATTGTATATTAAAAAATTGTAATTATTTTTTATATTTATTATTTTTGTTTATAGTGTTGTTTATAGGTCTCTTTAGTGAATGGAAAGATTGTGCGCCACATAGGGTAGCAAAATAAATTAGGGCAAAAATTTTGTTTATAGATGTTAATATAAATTTGTTTATTGATGTTCATATAAGTGTTGTTTATAGGTGTTTATATTTTATTATATTTATAGTTATATTTAGTATTTTTTTGTTTATATTATATTTATAGGTGTTATTATAATTTTGTTTATAGGTGTTTATAATGTTTTTATAGGTTTTTTTAGTAAATAGCAAGGTCGTGCGTTGCATAGGACGGCAAAACATTAGGATTGTCACATTTTGTGATTGTAAATTAAAAAAAAAAAAAATTGTAAATAAAGCATTCCTTTTTATGTTGTAAGTAGGTTAAACATTGTATTATTTTTCAATTTGATTTGCTATTTTCCATCTAATTTACCAGCAAGTTTATGAATTTGTCCCCGGCCGCCATAACAATTTTGCACCAAGGCTGCAAGAACAGTGGTAGTGCACTTGCCTCAGAAACAAAGGATCCATGGTTCAAATCCCACCTCTAGGCAAGTTTCGAGAAATCAGTTAGGAAGGAGGTACGAACTTCCAATTTAATGCTCATTCACCGTGCTTTTTGATAAGACCATAAGAACTTCTTGGGGCACCTAAATAAATTAAAAAAAAAAAAAGAAAAAAAAAAGAAGGCTAAAGCTAGCACTGTTTATAACTATACAAAGTCCTTATTTTAGATGTTTACTGTAGATTTATGACAAAATGCGGAGTTGACTGAAAATGAAGTTAAAAATAAGTTTGTACAAAAAAATTTTAATAAATAAAATGCTAACATATTGAAAACACATTTTGTATAACTACTAATGGCAACATCATGTTGCTGGTGATTAATAACATTACAGCTATTCAATCTTATAAATAAATTTATTATGCATAGACTAAATAATTTTCATCTTCTAAACTAATACATCTCTTTCTCAGCATTTCCTCACAGCAGCCACACTTTTTTGATTTTTTTGCATATGCAATGATCGCAAAAAGTGACCAACGGAGTGGTCCAGTTACGTAGACCTGGGAGATGTGAAAATAAAAACAGATTGAAGATGATGTCATTTAGGTAAAATAACATAAATCAATGTAAAGACTATTTAGTAGGAGGAGTAAAAGTTAGCAACTCAGGAAAAGAGAAATAAAAACTCACACTCTAGTCATCTTTTAGCAAATGATGAAACAATGATCTATGAGTAAACAAGTCAATAAAAATCCGCTGGTTTATAATGGTATTCATAACTAAAATAATCGTACCATACAAATTTTCTAAAAAACGTGGCACTGTATATGTTCTAAACTCTAGATAAAAAATAGAGAACTGATAATCACCTGTGTAACATAAAAATATATAAATGTCGTTAATGTAACAAATTCATAATAAAAAGCTCACAAAGCGCAAAAATACATGGGTGTAAGTGGTAAAAAAATGTTGGCGCCATGATAACCAATTAGAATAAGTAGTGGATAAATGGTGATCCCCCTCCTCAGGAATGCTCTGCGATCACCAATGACGTTTCGGAGAGCCCGAGACCTGCAATAACGCCACTCGTCAGGGGCGTGTCCTTGCAACAGATCTCACCGCCTGCATAAAACTTACTAACTTATAACATATTAACTTTTGTTGTAAAAAAATTAATATTCCTATTAGATGGTTTTGCTTGTTTTAGTTTTATATTAATTAAATTATAATAGTTATTAATTATAATAATTTTAATGTTTATATTTAATAGTATTTAATATAAACATAGCCAAAATTAATTTTCATCTTCTAAACTAATACATCTCTTCTTCAGCATTTCCTCACAGCAGCCACACTTTTTTGATTTTGACCTTAGAAAATTGAGTAGTAAATGCCTCTCTATTCTTCTTTTGCAGTCTTTTTTTTTGAATTTTGCTGGCATTCGTACCTCATGTGCTTTACATATAAATTCAATATCTTTTACTTTATTAAATTATTGTTAAAATATTATATACAAATTATTATTTTATGTTTTTCAAACTCTATTTCAGAAAGAAGAAAAAAAGAAAAAAGATAAAAATAATAAAAATGCATTTTTCTTTTTTATTTTTGAATTGTTTTTTTTTTCTGGCCTTCATTAAAAAAAGTTCTTAAAGCTAAATAGATTATTATTTTAATTATCTTCACAATCATCTTAAACAAGCTTATGCTGCCAATCCTCTTAAACATCAACTATTTATTCAAAACCATTGTTTGCATCAAAAACCATCAAATAATATTCTTGTTTGAAGATGTTTATTTGTTGGGTTTAAATAGCAATTTAGAAGTTTAAACAAATAAAGCACAGTCATCTAAAGCAAGGAAACAAACAAACAAACAAACAAATAAGCAGTGTTCTAATTGACAATTACCGAATGCATTCTAATTGACACTTAACACGTGCATTCCAATTGACACTTAACAAGCCCATTCTAATTGACAAGTGCATTTTAATTGATGTTTAACAGGTACATTGATCAAAATTTTGTTGACTGTTAACTTGACTTTGATTATTGTTTTACAATATTGGTATTACAATTTTTTTTTTACATATTTTTTTAGTGAATTTTGTTAATATTAATATGAAATAAATTCATTAACTATGAAATAAATTTATATTTATTTACTTAAAAACTTTGGCATATAAATTTGATGAATGGTCACACACGAGCTGTAAATGCCTTAGGGAAAAATGAAGTACATTAGAATAGAAGAGAAGTACATTAGATTAGAGGAAAATTATTTTTCAAACAAAGCTTATTTTGACAGTTGTCAAGACAAAAATAAAGATTAACAGAAAAATATTTAAAAATGTACCTAATGACAAAAATAAGACAGGCAATAAACCTAAACAATACTTACAAAAATGAAAAATTAATATTTTTTATAAAAACTTAAGGTGAACAAAGATATGCCACAAATTATCACCAATCAACAACAAACAAACAAAATATTGACTACATAATAAAAAGTATGCATAAAACAATGTGAAGCCTAAGAATGGAAAAAAATAACATTAATGCTAAGGTGTAAACATTTGTGTAGTGATTAGGTAATAAACATCTTTTGTGAGTTGTGTCTCTTATTTCGATGAGGATCAGCACTAATAACTAGTTTATCTTGTCAGAAGAAAGTCATTGCCACGTATGCTTTACCCCCAGATCTACACCTATTTCATACTGCAGTAAAAAAGGACTCACTATAAATAGCCAAAACCTAACTATACCTAAATTTGTGAAACACCAATATTTTTTGATGATATGATATAAAGTGTAGATCTACCGTACAATATAAATAGAAATAACTAAATAAATCACTTACCATACCACCGGTAGAAAACACATAAAAGCAATAAATTAAAATTCTAATAAAAACACCGAAACAAAATTAAAGAAATTCAAGTATGCAAACAAAAAATACTAATAAATTTCCCCTTAAGACAATTCAAAATTACTTCCTTCGAATTTTGTTAACCAAAATTAAAGAAAATGAACAACCTGCAAAACTTAAAATCGTCACTAAAATTTAAATCATGATAGTGGAATATTTATATATATATACATATATATATATTATATATTATATATTCCACTATCATGATTTAAATTTATATATATATATATATATATATATATATATATATATATATATATATATATATATATATATATATATATATATATATATATATATATATATATATATATATATATATATATATATATATATACATACATACATACAACCCTCGGAATTAGAGTCCTAACTGCCGACCTTAAAGTGTTTGAGATTGGCAAAGAATTGCCGACCTCGTTTCGATGTTTTATGGCAAGACCTTTGTATCAAGTTTTTTTGCCAATCAAATGCTGACCTCTAAAAGATTGAGGTCTGCAAATTATTGCTGACCTTAATTTTTCTAATTCCGAGGGTTGTATACACACACACAGACGCACACAGACACACACAGACACACACACATATATAACAGAAAAGTTAACATTCATGTTTGACTTCTTGTATTAAGCAGTTATAAATTTTGATTTTTTTTAAACTGGAGTATCATCAGCCACTTTAGAGGCATAGTTGTTGAAAAAGTTATAAATTTAGATAATAGATGAGTTAGAAGCTGGAACCTTATAATATCCCTGAGGTTACTAAGGATAAAGGAGAGAGTTGTCAATTGAAAATGAATATGTGATTAAAAAGGAATGGCCAATTCTTTTTTTTAGAAAGTCAATATTGGCATGCCATCCACATATCGGAAGGTTAGCAATAGTAATTAATGTAAGTTTTTTTTTGAAGATAAAGTAAGATTTTTTAATCAGAAAATTTAGATTATATCTTTAAATTTTGTTTATTTCTTAAATTTTTTAATAAAACATTAAAAACAAATTACAATGCATCACATTATATTTTGAATTTTATTTAATAATTATTATTTTTTTAAATTTAAAACATAATGTAGGAGGACACCATAAAAGTGTTGACAATCAATAAACTTGATGACAGTGGTATTTTATTAAAAGACAAAAGAGTCACTGAAATTACTTGCTTGTCATGGAGGTATTTTTGTTTATCAAATTACTTTTTGAATTTTTTTTGCCCATTAAGTATAATTATTATATGAGTAATTATGTATAAATAATTGTATCCTATTTTATTTTTTAAAATAAAGTACGATTATTTAAGAAAAGTGTTTGTTTTAACAAATCTTTAGAATTTTTCTTTCATTTAAAAAATTTTCAATAATAAAAAAAAATCTTCATCAAGTTATGCAATAATTAAAACTTTTTAATTAAAACTTGTTTTACTGTATTGTGTTATTAGTTTACTTGTTTTGGATTCCAAGAAATAAAAGCATCATAGAAATTCTTAAAAAAAAGAAAAAAAGAAAATGAAAAAACACTCTAGTACTCAGATTTTGTTTTTTAGACCAAAATCATCTCTAAGTGTTGCAGTTGGTAGTAAAAAAGGAATCCTTGTGTGGTTTTTAGATCCTAGTAACACAATTATTAGGTATTATTTTTGTTAATGTTGAATAAAGCTTTTAGTTTTCAAAAATAATAACCCAAATATAACCTAATCAGTGCAAAGTATAACTAGTCTCATTTTAGAAGGTGTTACTCATAAAAAAATGATTTAAAAGATTTTTTTATGTGTGGGTTTTAAAATCTAATGTAGCACATATGGTTTCATCATAATGTGACACATGATTTGATCAATATGTGACACATTTATTCTGATTGACTAATTTAAAAATCCTTTATTAATTTTGAATGGTTCTTTGAATAGACCAGGATCCAACACAACTAAACTGCTTTATGTGGATGATATGACAACAGAAGTGTCATCTGTTTCATGGTCTCCTGACGGTAAATTACTTGCTTGCTCTTGTAAAGGCTTCACCTCTATTTGGGTAAGACATTTTTTACATCTATTTTGTTATTTATCTATATTTAAAAAAGAGATTTAGGTTTCAAAATTCTACTTGCAATAGATTTGGGATGTTGTTATTGAAAGATCAACTTCCATTCAACGAGTTGGAAATGGGATTAGCTATTTGCATTGGTCACACTGTGGTAATAAACTTTTTGCTGCAGATCAAAGTAAAATGTTTAGGTATGATTGAAATGAATTTTTTTCTAAATAATTGTTTTGTAATTTAATTGATTCTGTAGTTTGAAAAAGAAAATAATTTAGAAAATTTCTGAGTTTATCATTTTTATAAAAATTTTATCTTTAGTTGTAGGAATATCGATTAGCTTTGAAAACAAAAGTTATTTATCTGAGAGATCAGGTTGAAAAATTGAGCATTAAGCAATATTTGTAAATTGTTTTATCAAAAATTAAAAAAGCAATAGGGAGTCATAAAAAAAATGTTGTAACATCAAAAAGTATTTAATAAGAAGGGGAAACAAAACAAAAGTTTAACGAAAGAAAATAACTGCTGTGATGACTGATGGATGTAATGATCTAGAATTTTTGTATTTCCTCTGTATTGAGGTGTATGAAAATCAATTTTAACCCTAGTTGTTCAATTATCTAAAAATTGTACCAATACTTCTTGATACCATTTCACTTGTTCTTGCAATGTGAGCATATTTGCAAAAGCCAAATAAGTTATTAGAAAAAAAACTTTAATCTACATTTTAAAAGAGTAACACCTAATGATGTTTGCTGCTAAAACTGGAGACTTAAGAGAATCAAACTTCTTTTTAGATAAAATCCTTGGTTTCAAGAATTTATGTTAAAACTATTACAAGAATTTTTTTGGTAAATAAAAATTAGGCAATAAAGAAAGTAATCCTGGATAATTTATTTCATTTGCGTTTAGTTCATAACAGTTTCAGGAAAAATTAGTTCATAACGTCATCCTGGATTTTTTTAGTTTCTATAAATAGGAGGTTTACAAATTTTAGAAGTTCACAATTTTATGATAAGATAAAATAAATGGACTCTATAATTTTTTACTGAATTTTTTACTGAATATATATCTTATCATAAAATACACAAATGCATTTTGTAAGTAAATCTTGAGTTATATAAAATAAAAAAAACTAGAAGGTTTTCTGAAGTTTGTTCTTCAAAACATAGAGCTTCAAAATAGAGCTTCAAAGTATGAACAAAACATGTTTTTGCTACTAAAATTTTTATTTTTGGAAAAATCAGAAATTTCAAATGACCACATCTCATGAACCACAAAAGATTTTATATGTAGAATTTTTCAGGAATTGTTTTTTTCATTGATATAAACCAACCCACCAATTTTCATTTAAATCTGAGGTGGTCTATGTTGGACTTTAGTCCACTTGGCATGGAATGACCCCAATACAACAAATACATTAAATTCATACATTTAAATACTTTCAATTAATGATTAAATGTTTATAAGCTTTTACTTTGTCATATGTCAATGTAACATATATGTCAATGATTTGAAACAATATGTCAACACTCTTAACATGACTGCAAGCAACTACTATATAAGTTGGGAATGGTTCAAAAAAAGTTCCAAATGGGTTACAAATCATTGACGTAAATGTATTAAAAGTTACACGTTGTAACTCATTTAACGTTTAAAACTGCTGTTCAGTTACTAACTGAATGTTAAATTTAAAAAAAGAAATTAAAATATATTACAAACTCAATTTAAAGAGCATAGAATGTATGAAAAATTTGTTTTTTCAAAAGATTTTAAAATATTCATTAAGAGTAAAGTTAACTTTTGGTTGTTGGGAATTTTTTTTCTTTTTTTTTTATAATAAATTAAAAAAAGTAAAAATTTTGTCTTTGATAAAAATTAAAATAAGTCTTTGATAAGAATTTAGTAATCACACAAATTTATTTTTTGAAGGAAAGAACTTTTGATCTTTAGCTTGCAATTTTGTTTTACATTAGGAAAACAAAAATTTTTCAAAAATTTTTGTTTCTCTTCATATTCTTTTCGATTTTAGTTGAAAAAAATGATTATAATAACCAGTTGATAAAAATAATGATTATAATAACTTAATAAAAGTTTTACTAAGGTATCGTTAAGTTACTGTAGTTATCTTTTTATTTAAAAGGCACTTAATGAGATCCCCAAGAGACAAATTATTTTAAAGAAAATGTTAAAAAAAACACATTTAGATTGAATTTTTTTGATAAAAATAACAAGCTTGCCTTTTCCATTTTTCTTGGTTCTTGGATTCTTTATAATATATGCTGCAATCTGCAGACTGGATAATTTATTTCATTTGCGTTTAGTTCATAACAGTTTCAGTATATAACGTCATCCTGGATTTTTTTTTAAGATATCAAAGTATTTTTTTTCTGACTTACATAAATATATTTTTATTCGTATAATTTTTCACTAAATTTTAAAAAGTATTTGTTATACATTTAAAAATAAAACAATATATTTATTTCATTATTCGTCTGGATTTTTTTTGAAATTAATATATCTTTTATAAAAGATATTTTATATTAAATAAAGATTTTATAAAAGTATATAAATTTATATATTTTCTTTGTTTTTTTGAAATAATCGTTATTTGATATGAAATGGTTATTTGTCAATGAAATTTGATTAAATACATTAATTTTCCCTGATAGATATTAGATTAGTATAGCACAGTGTTACTCTAATTTTGAGGTGCAGCTGCCTTGTTATTTAATGCTATTTAGTTAATTTTAAATGTTTTATTCAAAGTAGTTTTACATTTTTTAAACTAATGTTGTTTATATATAATTACTTAACATTATATAGTTGTTAATTATAGTTTATTTTGGTACTCACTTTTGAGTGCACATAAACTGACTGACTTGAATAGGAAAGAAACTCAAGAATATCCCCCCACCACTTTTCCTAAAATAAAAAAAAAGTATACTTAAATAAACTCTTTGTCACTGATATTGCAATAGTTATTAGAAAATAACTGAGTTTTGTTTGGGTTAAACTAAACTCAATTATTTCTATTTGCAGTTTCAGGTAAAACTTGAAACTTCAAGTCCCAAACTGTCACAGAGAAGAGATCAGATTCAGGAACAGCTGTCTGTTTTAAGCTTTCAAAAAGTCATGATTTTTTTGTCAAGACTGGAGGATATAGTTGTCAGTAAATAGAGTTGCTCTAGATGTAAGATTGGCAGGAAGATCCTTAATATAGGTGAGAAAAAACTCTAAACCAAAGATAGAAAGTTGTTGTACCCCCAGTAGTTGGGTTTTTGGGTGGGTTTTTGGGTTTGGGTTTTGGGTGCCAACCCTAACTGTTACATACAATTTTGGACAAAGTTGATAAAACATTGAAAATCCTATTTGCTCTCCTGTATTTAGAAATTCTTAATGTGGCTCTTTTAGATTTACAAGTAATAATCATTTTTTGATGTTGTTTTTGACCTTCGATTTTAACTGAAACAAATTTTTTCTTATCAGGCCAATCCAAGAATATTTGTCACAATGATAAAAATTCTTGATATTTGTTTTAAGTGCTTGTGATATCTTATTTCTAGTAATTTTTTTACACTCTCCTAAAATACCTTTAGATGCCTTTAGTTTATGCGCTTTTTTAACTTTTAATTTTTTTTTTCATAACTGGGTCTGTCTCGAATAGACACTGATTTTAATAGAGAACAATCTTGGATGTTTTATTTGCAATTTCAAAACATTCGGAATGTATGATGTACTGGTTTCATAATTGATTCTATTTTTTTCAATAGTTTCATCTTTCTGACAAAAAGTTATACAGAGTTTTTGAACTTCATTCTTTAAGAAATTCATTCTTGAAGCAGTTTTTTCATTGATCGACTAAAGAGATTCTAAAAATTAGAAATCCAATATATACAATTAGTACAATTCTTATCAAAAATATAAAACCGTGTATAAACATAAAACTTGTTAAACATGTCCATAACAATTTTTTTTTTTGTTATTAACAAAAAGCAATGACAAAAAAATAACAAAATAACTTTAAAAATATTTGCAGAAAATCTTAACTTTAAAAATTTGCAGAAAAATTTTTTTGTAAGATTTTCCACTATTACTTACTAAATGCTTTAATATAAAATTTAAAATAAATGTTTAATGAACTTTTTATTGTCTAATTTTATTAATTTTATATTAAATTTTATAAACTTTATATTTAGTTTTATGAAATTTATATGGATCACAACAAAACCTTTGTGTAATGAACATCTTTTCATGATAAAAACATGTAGAACTACAGTCATTTAAAGTTACATCAAATCTCCATGCAAGCATTTTTTTTCTTCTATAAAGCTTTGAATAACTCTTTCGCCAACCATTTGAGTAAAGTTTTATGGCAATCAAGGTTTAGTAAAACTCCGATATTAGATTTTTTGTTACTCATTTTATCCCTTAGTTTTAAAATAATTGTTATTATTTTGTTTAAATATAAAAATAGGTTATTTCATTATTCAAAATTAATAAAATGTATTTGCATCATACATATTCAATAACTTGAAATAAAGATTGCATCATCATAAAATGTAATACTTAGCCACTATTTTTTTTAACCCTTCTTAAAAATAACTAAATTTTAAGTTATTCCTTGTTTAAAAATAAATAAATAAACAAATTTTTAAATTAAAATATTCATTGGTTTTAAAGATATTGACTATATAACAAATTCAAAATGGCCGGTTTTGAATTCCAGAGTTTTATTATAATAGAAAGTTTAAATTCAGATATCTCAGCAGCTACAAGACATCTTAAAATTATTTTGTCTGTATTTCTTCTTCTTATATTGAAGATAAATTCCTATAAGTTTCAAGTGTTAAATTTAATGGTCACCTAGGTAATTTTCAGTTCTAAAATGGACCTAATTTTACTATTTTAAGGCTGGAGGCTTTTTAGGGGGGTCTAACTTCTATAATTTTGAATCCAATGTTACAAAACTTCTCATAAATGATAGCTACCACCTATATTCTCACAAAATAACAAATTTATTATTTTTGTAAAATAAATTTTTATTTTTTCGAAAGTTGAGGTAAATTACTGCCATTAGATTGATTTTTAAGTATTTAAGATAATTGCTTTTTTATTTATATGGATTTGAAAATGAGACTTTTTTGAAAAAGACAATAAATTGCTTAAACAGGCCAAGACAATAATTTTTTAAATTGCAGAGTTTTAAAATGCTTCAAGATATTGAGTTGAAATTTTAGGAAAGTCTTTTTTTCCATAATACCTATAAGGGGTGTGAATTTCAAGAAAATCTGAGATGGTCACTCGGTAAGGTTGGCTCGTCTTTAGTGCATCCAATACCAATAACATTTTTCAATATCGGTATTTCGGTACTGAATAATTTTAATACCGGTAATATTTTTATTATTTTAATTAATCATAATATGAATAAAATCTCAAGTAAATAGTAAAACTTCTTTGGTTCAAGATGCTTTTTTATTTTATATCAAAATTACAAACTTTTTCATTTTTCAGTTTTTTCTTCTTTGTAAAGTATGCTTGTTAGAAACATAGGGCATTCAGAGTATCATCTTCAAGAAATTATCGTAATTTTGTGACACTGTTGCGACTTGCTGATAATCCACGCTCCGATTCGAGCAATGGTATTTACAATGGCTGATTTGCTAAGGTGTTCAAAAGATAGCGCTGGATCCAAATTTTTGTAACGTTGATGGTCCTTGTGCAGATAGTGCAGTGAGCTGGAAAAAGTTGTACGACGCTCATTGATTTGTTGCACTAAAGTAGCTTTTAACTTAACAGCTAAATCTGTGTTTTTCAATTTCACAAAGCATTCAAGCATAGTGTGTAAACTACTCCAGGAAGTTTTGGAGTCAAGTATCAATGGAAGGCCTTTACCAAATTCCTCTACTTTATATTTTTGAAGTGTTTGATCATTTTTTGTCAGAGAACGGCAAAACAATTTCACAACGGTGCGCACCTTTGTGATTAACAGCTGCAGATCATCAGTCAGTTCAATAGGGTCATCTTTTTCACTCATTACAACTTGAAACCCGCCGGAAAAGTCTTCTTCGTCATCATTGGTTTTGTTTGTGTCATCGTCAGTGCTAATATCCTCATC